CGCGGCCGCATTCTGGACCAGTTGGAGTCTCCGGGTGCTCCTCAAAGGGAGCCCCATGTAGAGAGCATTACAGTAGTCCAGGCGAGAGGTGACGAGAGCATGAGTGACTGTGCGCAAGGCGTCCCGGTCCAGAAAAGGTCGCAACTGGTGAATCAGGCGAACCTGATAAAACGCCCCCCTGGTCACGGCCGACAGATGGCCTTCCAATGTCAGCCGTGGATCCAGGAGGACTCCCAAGTTGCGGGCCTTCTCTGAGGGGGCCAAAATTTCGCCCCCTATAGTCAGCGATGGGATCAGCTGACTATGCCGAGGCGCCGGCAGCCACAGCCACTCGGTCTTGGATTATTATACAATAAAAATATAAATAAAAAGTTATTGTTTTTATTGACTCAAAATTATTCTAAAGCTTACTCTGGGTATCTTTAACAATGGAGGTACAATAATTTATTGACATAAATTTTATGAATATTCTCTTACAGTTATTATGGTTTTATTTAGCACTCATAAAATCTTTATGTAATTCTGTTATAGGTTATCTTTCATAAGTGCTCAAAACCTCTATTTTTTTCCTGAAATTTTCTTATTCTTGTTTCTATTAAACACCTTCAATTTTAAAATCCCTTATATTATTTGCTTTATAATGGGTTTAATCTTTTTTAGCTGTGGAATTCTTGGTGCTGATTGAATTTGGTTGTTTTCTTGCAGATATTTCATTCCCCAACTAAAGTAATATCTTCAGTGCATTTCCTTAGCTATTTGGAGATCAGCTGCGATTGCTAGTAGTACTATCCGGTAAAATAAAGATATATGTATTGACAAGAGAATACATATAAAGAATAATTAATATACTAAGCTTCCTTAATATTTTATGAACTGAATTCTGAACACTGTGAAACACTCTAGGTCTCACATATGTTTTTTTCCCCTCTTACTTGAAAGCCTTATAACTGGCAATGCTAAAGGGTGAACTTGTAATTTCAAGATCTCTTATACATGAGTTATAAATAAGAATTATTAATGAAAAATAATTGGCGGTGGCTTGTAACATCAAATAATCTATGCCAGGTGGATGGCTCTGTTTTCACTAATCAACCATATGTGATTGGATTAAAGCAGGAACTTTTCTATTTTGATGCCCACTTTCTGATATTTTCACACTCATTTATAGTGATTTCA